TCAGATGCTGAGACGAATAGAGAAGGCAACCAGCCCTAAGGCCATCCCTCCATTTATTTTTTATATTAAAAAATTATGAAAAAAAGGGCAAAAAAAAATAGTCCCTCCGCCTTTGATCACGAGAAAGACCCTCCTTTGTTTCATTGCCAACTCAACTCTTATATATATAGTATTCGTCAGAATAGTCTTTCTCCTGCTTTCTTGTTACTTCTCTTCTCTCTGGAACCTGCCATCCTGCTTTCTCAGGTCTCTCTCTCGCTCGCTCTGTTATTATTTATTTATTTTTCTTTTGATTTTTCCTCTTATATTCTAATTTAGGTATAGTCATGCAATTGATTGTTTGTTCTTGCTCAAAGTTAAATGGATTTATTCATACCATATTTGACAGTATGAAATTTTGTTCTTGGAATTGAAATTGAAATCACACACACACACACGGGGGATTTGTCATATACAGGAGGAGGAAGAGAGCTTGAGAGTCGACTATGAATATGAAAATCTAAAAATCCTACTAAGGAAATTACATGAATATTGCGAGAGACAGTCGAATCAAAATACGTCTAAACTCTTATCCACACAAATCCATTTCGTTAGCTCAACAGAGTGTACCGATGCAATTTTTAAGCCTTTTAACTTTCATTATGTAACTCATCCTTTTCATTGAATTGCTAATGCTTAATTTCTTGTTTTATAGCTTACTAGATCATTTCGCTTCGTTTCCAATAATCATCACCTTAGAATTGATCTCTTGTCCCTGATGAGCAGGATATAAACTTTTGACGTTTGACGTGGCAAGGAAATCTTAGTTATAGTTCTCTGAATTTAATAATTAAGGTTTTCTTGCTACGTCAACTGTGGAAATTTTTTATCCTATTCATTGGCGAGGAGATCAAGTTCGATCATCACCTTGCATCTATTTTTCTCTTCACGAAGTCTAGTTTTTTGGACTCCACATTTCTTTATTTCTTGTCTAAAACAATTTGATCTTTTAAATGAGGGGAAATATGGTTGTAAGAGCTTGAAATTTAGAGTTGGACTGGGTATGGGACTTTGGGTGGATTACATCTTTTCTTGGATAACTATATGGAGGAAAAGAAAATGTTGGGTCAATTTTGTGAAGTAAAATAGGTAGGACCAAAAAAATAACACAAACTTGATATTTGGCAATAGCTCGATATTAGAATACACAAGTCGTTCTATTTACTAGAAAAATGAATCGCATCTGCATGTGAAGAGCTAACACCCATTGTTTCTTGATTATCGTCAACTTGGAATATGGTATTATCCTTTCATACTAACAATTAATCAATTCTGTGAAACTAATTTCTCTTCAATGGATCAATTTTGACTCAGGTGTAACATGGCAACTGTTACTATTCCTTCACCTCTCTTGCTAAAAGCTTCACCATCAAGGAAAACGTGTTTTACAATGAAAAAGGACTACTCGTTGTGCTCTGTAAAGCGTGTTTCAAAATCATTTGGTTTGCAATCCAATTCCATGTTCAAAGCACGAGCCATGGCAGTGTACAAAGTGAAACTGATTTGTCCAGATGAAGAGAAAGAAATTGAAGTCCCTGATGATCAATACATCCTTGATGCTGCTGAAGATGCTGGAATGGAGTTGCCCTATTCGTGTCGGGCCGGGACATGCTCGACTTGTGCCGGGCTGATGGTGTCGGGATCAGTTGACCAATCAGATGGATCGTTCCTTAGCGACGAGCAAATGGAGAAGGGGTACGTGCTTACCTGCATTTCGTACCCTAAATCCGATTGTGTTATTTACACGCACAAGGAAGAAGAACTCCATTAAGAGATAGAATGGTCATTTGTGACTATTGGATCGAAAATGTTGTATTCATATGAAATAGACGTAACTTGAATATTTACGATTTTAACTCGATTGTTTGCACAACGATTTACCTTTCTCACTTTTTATGTTATCTTAGCTATGTTTAATACATAATACTGGATAATATTGCACAATACAATAGAAAATTATTGTCAAAGTAATGTTATACCATACCTAAATAGG